CGCTGAATTCTGGTATCTGGGCCCTTGTAGATACCTGCGCTATGTGTGTACATGGGCAGAAATGCCCCACGTTGTGTGCCACATCCCAGACACCTGCAGTTCATCAGTAAATCTATCTCCTGGGATGTGTACTGTAGACTTCCAAGGAGGTAGCAAGGGTTCTTACATCATTCTTGCCTAGGCATGTAAGCAGGAAGACAGTTCCTGACAAAAGCACAGAAAAGGTAAGAAACCTTTCTAAAAAAATTAAAAAAAAAGAACATGTTCTCCCACTGGTGGAGGGGGGAGGGGGGCGAGTTAGGAGCAAAAAGGTAATTATAATGGGTGAATGTCCACTTTCCCTTTTTTTTCTTAGTTAAATGTATAACAAATCTCATTCTTCAGAAAACCTTTTTTGACTTATTACAGATCGAACCTGCTGGATACAATTGTACGTCTTCCTGCCCACTCTAACTATTCTGTCACTATCTCTGCCTCTCCTGTGTTTACTGAACAGGAGGAAACCAGAATAAAGTAAGTATTTATACAATTATTTTTAGCAATTAATAGCAGATAAACAATCATAAATAAAATATCAACGTCATATTACTAAACATACATTGGCACATTTAGAAATTCTAAAGCTGGCCATACACTATGCAATCTAATTGTAGACTTACCTTTAGATCTACCATCAGCTCTGTATTGCAATGGCCTGCCAGATTTGATACAAACTACTGTAAATGTATTGTTTAGGTTTGCTCTCCTATAACATCATTTTGGTAAGACTAAATAAGATTGTACAATCAGATGGTATGCTTTAGAGTAGTGGTCTCCAAACTGTAGCCCAGGGACCGGATGTGGTCCTTTGCTTGCCTTTATCTGGCCCTCTGGGGCACTTTTCCTCCCACTGATACAAGACACTCCCACCAACAATCGGGCATAATTACTGCTACTGACGTCAACGGTGAGGCACTATTTTTCCCATTGACACCAACAATAGGGTACTATTCCTCCCACTGACACCAACAATGGGGCACTATTCCTTCCACTGACACCATTGATGGGGCACTATTCCTTTCACTGACACCAATGATGGGGCACTATTCCTTCCACTGACACCATTGATGGGGCACTATTCCTTTCACTGACACCGACAATAGGACATTATTCCTTCCACTGACACCGACAATAGGACATTATTCCTCCCAGTGACACCAATGATGGGGCACTATTCCTGCCACCAGCACCAACAATGGGCACTATTTCCCCCTAAAGACACCAACAGTAGGCCAATATTCCTCAGACTGACACCAATGATGGGGCACTATTCCTCCCACTGACACCAACGATGGAGCACTATTCCTGCCAGCAACACCAATGATGGGGCACTATTTCCCCCCAATGACACCAACAATAGGACACTATTCCTCAAACTGACACCAATGATGGGGCACTATTCCTCCCACTGACACCAACAATGGGGCACAATTCCTTCTACTGACACCAACAATGGGGCACAATTCCTTCTACTGACACCATTGATGGGGCACTATTTCTCTCCCACTGACACCAACGATAGAGCACTATTCCTCCCACTGACACCAATGATGGGGCACTATTCCTGCCAGCAACACCAATGATGGGGCACTATTTCCCCCCAATGACACCAACAATAGGACGCTATTCCTCAAACTGACACCAATGATGGGGCACTATTCCTCCCACTGACACCAACAATGGGGCACAATTCCTTCTACTGACACCATTGATGGGGCACTATTTCCCTCCCACTGACACCAACAATAGGACACTATGCCTCCCACTAGCACCAATGATGGGGCACTATTCCTGCCAGCGACACCAATGGTGGGGCACTATTTCCCCCCAATGACACCAACAATAGGACACTATTCCTCAAATTGCCACCAATTATGGGACACTATTCCTCCCACTGACACAACTGGGCACTATTCCTCCCACTGACACCAACAATTGGGCACTGTTCTTCCCACTTACACCAATGAAGGGGGGCTATTCCTTCTCCTAATACCAAAGACTTTCTACTTCCAATAGCGAACGTCCGGACCCGTGAAATTCTGATGGACAGTAAACTGGCCCTATATTTAGAAAGTTTGGAGACCCCTGCTTTAGAGCATTGAGCAAAATGTGTGTAACCTACAGTAACCTATCAGCAACCAGCTTTCATTACCTGACTGTTCTAAATTTATGAAAGGTGAAATATGATTGGCTTCTATGGGTACTTGCACATCCCTATCGCTCTTTACATTGCCTTGTTTTAAATGCATGGATTCTGAATGGATGATCTAGGGAACTTGCAACTACGAAAACTTGTGCTGCTGTTAAATATCACTTAGGGTCTTCTAAAGTGTTACTTTCTAAATATCCTTTTACAGGTCGGCAATGTGAAGATGATATGACTTTTTTTCAAAAAAGGATAAAAGATTCCTGTTACACAAATGGTCGGGCTAAGAGACATATCTTCAAGTTCAAGATCTCTCCTTTAATAAATACTGCAGAAGAGATGCCCAAACACATGCAGACATGGCGAACGAGTTATGGACCCTTCCGGATCAATGACAACTTACATTAATACTTCACAGAATGAGCAACAACTTAATTACATCAAAGGGGGTAGGAAGATGGTACACAAGGCCACCCAACATGCAAGCATACTTCTCTTTTTTGGGGCAGTGGTGGTCCTGAAGAGCCCAAGCCCACTAATACTGGGCCCAGTGCTTTGGTAGTGCTTGAGAAGGAAAGAGCCTGTCTCAAAGCATACTCCAATACTGAAATGCAAATGGGCCAGTATTAAGATGACAGTTGCTGCACGCTTGCTGCCCACTTGTCACAGTGACCCCAGCCAACGTTTTGCTGTCCCAAGCTAGTGTAGTGCTACTCTTGTAGGAGCAGCTGGCATACTGTCCAGGCTTCCCCACTATCTTCACCCAGCAGCCAGCCACACAGCCTACTCGCTCATTTCCTTCATGGATCAGTCTAGGGATGTTTTTATTGTTTTTATTTTTGAGGATTTTGGATAGGGATTAGGGAGATGAGTGGGATACTCCAGATTTAGGAACTATATACACTTGAGGACTGTAAGGGGTTTATTTACTAAAGCTGGAGAGTCCAAAATCAGACTCCCTTCTGCATAGAAACCAATCAGCTTCTAACCTCAGCTTGTTCAATGAAGCTTTGGCAATGAAACCTGGAAGATGATTGGTTTCTATGCAGAAGGGAGTCTGATTTTGGACTCTCCAACCTTAGTAAATAAACCCCTAAGTGTCCTCTTGAATAAACTATAACGAATTCCATGCTTGAAGCAAACAGTAGACTTCAGCTTGAGGCAATGATAGTGAAGTAGTATCAAGCTTGAGCTAAAGCTAACTAAGGGGTTAAATGGACAGAGCTTTTCGGGATACCAGCCAGAGACCCCTTTAGTTCAAACCCACAGCTGACTTACTAGCACCTGAGGGGGGTTAAGTGACACACAGTTTCTAGGATCCTTCAGATTGTCTGTACTCACAAGGCCTGAGAACAAATGGCAGCCTTAGTCCGTGATACCAGACCAGGCCTCCATTAGATGTCCCCCTTGTCAGCTTTAGCAGAACCTGGGTCTCAGCATTCAGGTCTTCAGGTTGCCCACTTGAGGCCTATGGCAGAAGATGCCTGGGAGGGCAATGATCCCTCTCCCAAGCTGGAATAATCCTGGGCAGGAAAGACCCAGAGCCCATTGTGCTCTCTGAATATATACAGTTACCCAGCATGCCTCAGGGCCCGGCTCCCTGGGATTAGCTAGTGCTGTATCAGTATTCACGCTGGCATCTGCATAGCTCCACGCCTACTATCTGGAAACCTCTTAAGCCTTCTGGATGAAGCACTGACCAGACCTAACTAAAACAGTGAGCCAAATATGCTTTTACCTTCCAAAAGAGAACTTAACTATCCAACCAACTTAGCACCTATCTAGGAGGGTGCTACACTAGTATGCTACACTAGTGTTTGGGGACACCATTTTTTTTTAATTCTTTAAATAACATTTTCCATTTAAAGAAATGCTAGGGAAAATCAAGCATCATTCAGTGATACATTTGAAGGTAGGTTTGAATAAGCAGTAGTAAAGGGATGCCAATCTTTGAAGATGATGTGAATAATTTCTCGATTATATTACATTAAAAAATCAATAAACTGTATCAGAATAGTATATTTGCCTGCCTGAGTCTTCCCTAAATTTGGGAGGGTTGGGAGATTACATCATGTCAGTGTAAATTGCCTAGGGGGTATAAGAAAATAAAGAACTGAAGAGTAGGATCTTTATGGGTGGGGGTCCAGGACCACCTAGTCACATACCCCAGTAGGATGTGGGTTGTGTAGAGCAGTCAGGTGGAGTTATTTGGGTCTGAGATGAGAGATCCATATCCTGGGCTGGATAGGAATTTGTAACAGCAATGTCATGTCTTCCTAAATTGATTCTCCGTGTGTTGGTGGAAGAAGGTGAAGTCCTCCATTTCTATAATTCCATCGATTTTAGCCAGGCATAGTGACAATGAAGGTGGGGTATTCTGTGGCATTAAGCAGTCATGCAAGTATTGTTCTCCTACATTTTGGAAAGTCATGATGCTGTAGGAGATATTTAGCTGGATGTAAACATAGGTCGAATATCTGTGAGTTTATGTTTTAGTTCTAAGAATTTATCTCAGAATAGGCATAAGATCGGACATTCTAGCAGTCTGTTTTGCCAATGGAGATGGAGCAGGTGAAAAGACTCACCTGCAGCTCTAATTGTAATAGATACGCAGGAATGGGTGAACTGACCCATATACAGACTGTCTGCGTCCCAGTCTGTGCACCAATCCCTGCAAAAATGTCAAAGTTCATACGCCAGCTCTGTCTCCATTGATAAAAGTAGGCTGCCTGTACACAGCTCCACTCTGCTTGGAAAGAATAAACAAATGCTCTTCACACTTCATGGGTCAATACCAGGGGCGGACTGACAACTCATGGGGCCCCCGGGCAATAGGGGATAATGGGGCCCCTGTGTCCTTGCCCAAACTCAAAAAAGCCTAAGAAAAAGGTACCAGGGGCATCTGATGGGGTCCCCTACTGACCCCGGGCCCTCAAGCAGTGCCCAAGTTTCCAAATGGTCAGTGCGCCCCTGGTCAATACACTGTGCAAATGAGCCCTAAAGAATATGCAAACCCCCTGCGCATGTAATGGAGGGGAACCCCATCTATGAAATTTAATTTTTCAGAATGAAAGTTCTGCAAAGTGTTTTCATTTCCAATCTTTTTATTAAGGTTTTGACAACGCAAAGAATGCAAAAGTACTATAATGAGGTACAGTAATGAGCACTAAAGCAGCAAACATTATAAGCTGTGTAATGCCACATGTATGTGTTACATTCTAATAAAACATACAAACAGAAATTTTCCTGAGTTATGGTTGAACATAAAACTGAATGAATTATAATCGGCAGGGCAGGTGAACCCAACTGGGGACTATCCAAATGCCCTCATATCAGTAAACAGACAAATAGTGTGATTCTTCAAAACTATTGTCTGTCCCCTGGATCGGGAGACAATTAAACCCAGGGGGTCCAAACTGCGGCCTTATGGCCGTTCCGAACAGGTTGGAGAGCCAAAGGTAAAGAAGAAAGAGAGGAAGAAGAAAAGTATAAAGAACAGGAAATGGAAATAATGGAATGTGGAGTAGTTGGTGCCAGTGAGTCCATCCAGCGGCTCATCGAGTGTTCAGATTAAGCAGTATTACTCGTCAAATACTTGACCCAAGGGTCCCATGTTTTCTCGAACAGGGGTATTTTATCCTGTAGAATGGTGCTCATTCAGCATAATCCAGGATAGTTTAGCTTTTAGGAGTTTTAAACGTACCGTGGGAGACTTCCAGGACCTAGCTACTATAGTGATTCTTGCTGCTCTGAAGAGGAACATTATCAGACACTGTGTGGGCCGAGGGGCTTCCTTATAAAGTTATAAATATAGATCCAAAACCAGCAGACCTTCAGGTAAGTCCACCAGATATAGTTCTCCTAAATTTTTTAATGCTTATCAAACCTCAGTTCCTAGGCCACAATCTACTCATTCTCTGAAAATATAAAAATCTGAAGAGACTTTCAGGTTTTTTTATTTTAGCAGCAAATACATACAGGATATTGAATAAAGGTCCCATAAAGATGGATTTCTTTTTTTAACAGAGGAGATGGATGAAATAATTTAGGTTTTTCAGCTCACTAAGAACAAGAAGGTTAAGGTGCTTCTTTCTTCTCTAAAGCAGTGGTCTCAAAACTGTGGCACTTTGCTTGCTTTTATCCGGCCCTTGGGGCACTATTTCATCCACTGATACCAACAATGGGGTATAATTCCCCCACTGACACCAATAAAGGGGGCACAATTCCTCCCAATGACATCAGTGATGGGGCACAATTCCTCTCAATGACATCAGTGATGGAGTACTATTCCTCCCAATGACACCAACAATGGGGCCCAATGACATCAACAATGGGACACAATTTCTTCAACTTACAGCAATAATGGGGTGAAATTACTCCCACTAATGGGGAAATATTTCTTCCTACAAATGTCGGGACCTTTTCTACCCCCACTGGCCACGGTCTGGCTCTCCTAAAGACTGAAGGACCGTAAACTGGCCCTTTGTTTAGAAATTTAGGAGACCCCTGCTCTAGAGGACAAATATACAAGGGCTGGGAGGAAACTAAAGACATAGTTATTTACTCAAACTTGAGAGTGAAAAATCTGGTGCAGCTGTGCATGGTAGCCAATCAGCTTCTAACTTCAGCTTGTTCAATTAAGCTTTGGCAATAAAACCTGGAAGCTGATTGGTTTCTATGCAGAGCTGCAACAGATTTTGCATTCTCCAGTTTTTATAACCCCCATAGTCTTTCCTACACATTGATACATTCAGTCCTTGACTGAATGGATTTACCGAGATAATAAATTATGTCAAAATCCTATGAAAATAAACTTTCTCCAGAATTTTTAAAGTCCCCCTCAAGGCAGCCGTTACCTGGATTTCAGGCTGATGCTTTGGCTTCAAAGCTTTCTGAGTCTCTAGCCTGAAACCAATACGTTTCGATCCTGATCCTGATATCTTTCTGACATACATTTACAAAATGCTTGTACCAGGTGTGGAACTAAAGTATTTAAACCAGACAAAGTTAGGCAAATATTTCAAAAGAGGGCCAACCAATGGCAGCCCAATACTTATGACAGAGCTAAAGGTAAAAATGATTTCTTAAACTGTTCCAAGAGGTTCCAGTTTTCCAAGACCTTAATTCTGATCTCCTGTTTCTGATTCCTGGTGAAAACTTGGCTTGCCTCTGATGGTGATTCCTGCCTGCCAACAACCTCTGCTTTTTTTTATACCATCAGTCCTGACCTCTTGCCTGTCTGATCATGATCTTATCTGTCTATTCTTTACCTGTTGCTGTCCACTACATGTACACATGAACTCCCATTGACGTTTAGCTCTCTTGGCAGCAGAAAAATGCTAAACACAGCAAAAATGTGTAAATGCGGAACCACGTTTAGAGCTTGGCATGTATTTATTTGATTGGCTAGAGAATTTTCCATTGACATGAATAAACGCCTAAGCGCTTGTTTTTAACTGCGTTTGTGCACATTTTCGCCATGTTTCGCAATTTTTGGCCAAAACATTCCTTTTCTGAACGTGATTCTACTGCATTTAGGAGAAGGATGTTTGATTGCCCATAAATTCTGCTGCTACTAAACTCTAGCCAATGTGTACATGGACACATAGGCTTTTATTTAGTTGAGTTCAGGGGCTTTGGTAAAAAAAAGCCAAAAGCCCCTAAAGTCACGTTGAGGAGCGGCAGTGTGCATGAGGCATAAGGATACAATCTGGAAAGTCGTAGTCGCCAAAGCTCATCATCCCTTGTGGGGTGCTCTTTTGAATACTAGGAGGCTTGTTAGGTTCAGCCCTCTTTACGGCCTGCATTCATTTGGTGCCTTAGAAGGTCCAAACCCACTGTGACAAGCAGTCTGCCTTTCAAGAAATCTGGTCTTGGAAGCTAACTGCAAGATCCAATTACAGGGAATGAAGAGCAATTGGGGCCAATTAGTACTTGTCTGTTTTCATGCAGCAAAACTTCTGCAATTTGCTGTATGAAAATACATGTCAATTCCCAATGTTTTTTATTAGGCTGGTTAATAGCTATGGAATTTATATGACCTTTGTGGACAGAATATGTGGAAGAAAGATATGATTGTATTATATCCTTAACAAGACCAATCAGCATGAACAGACCAAAGGAGAATGGAAAGCGGACCTTAATTCTCTGAAGCTGAGGGAGATTGTGGTATCAGTATATCAGTTCAAAAGGAGCAGAGAAGGCACAGCCTGGACAGCAAGAAAGGCTGCAGAATGGAGAGGGGCCGTGGCTTAAGTGCGGTCTGTACCCAGGGACGGACTGACCATTTGGAAACTCGGGCACTGCCCGAGGGCCCAGGGTCAGTAGGGGGCCCCATGAGATGCCCCTGGCACCTTTTTCATAGGCTTTTTTGAGTTTGGGCAAGGACACAGGGGCCCCATGATTCCCTATTGGCTGGGGCCCCATGAGTTTTCAGTCCGCCCCTGTCTGTACCTCTCCTATATGAACGCCCATGCCCCCCACTTCTGCGTGGGGTGAAGCTACAGCCAGCACTGGCAGAATTAAAAAAATGTATTTAATCCAAAGCACAAATTTAAGTGCTGTGAGCACTCAGTTCCAACAAGTCAATTAAACTTCTGGTGAGTGTTCTTTAAAAATCCAGATTTCTGTGCATATATTTTTGTTATAATTGCAAGATAGTGAGGTATTCAAGGATATACCGACTTCTAAAAGTATTTTCACGGTTTGACCTTCTCTCTGTCCCAAATGTTATTCCCAGAATTTCACCTGGTTTCTGAGAGGTAAAAGGCTTTGAAAAGACATGTCAGCCTACTTGTGGGTCCAGTATATACTCCAGTGTTATACACATTGCCTAAATGCACAAAAAATGCAAACCCAGCTGCTGATTAAATTAATAGTAGCAAGGGCTGGATATTTGTTCCAGCTGCTACTTTACTTGACAGAGTTCTGTCTACCCTGGTGCAGAAAACCAAGGTCTACATTACAGATTTGGCCGATTTTTCTACAGAAAATAAAATTGCTCCTCCTGATGGATTCTGAAATGCATTTAGCAAGTTGGGGTGTAGCTATTTCATATATGTCAATCACTCACACTGAAGCCTGCAAAGGCATACAGTGGGGATCGAAAGTTTGGGCACCCCAGCTAAAAATTTGTATTAATGTGCATAAAGAAGCCAAGGAAAGATGGAAAAATCTCCAAAAGGCATCAAATTACAGATTAGACATTCTTACAATATGTCAACAAAAGTTAGATTTTATTTCCATCATTTACACTTTCAAAATAACAGAAAACAAAAAAAATGGCGTCTGCAAAAGTTTGGGCACCCTGCAGAGTTAATATCTTGTACTGCCCCCTTTGGCAAGTATCACAGCTTGTAAACGCTTTTTGTAGCCAGCCAAGAGTCTTTCAATTCTTGTTTGAGGTATCTTTGCCCATTCTTCCTTACAAAAGTCTTCCAGTTCTTTGAGATTTCTGGCTGTCTGTCACGCACTGCTCTTTTAAGGTCTATCCATAGATTTTCAATTATGTTGAGGTCAGGAGATTGTGAAGGCCATGGCAAAACCTTCAGTTTACGCCTCTTGATGTAATCCCCCGTGGATTTCGAGGTGTGTTTAGGATCATTATCCATTTGTAGAAGCCATCCTCTCTTTAACTTCAGCTTTTTTTCACAGATGGCATCAAGTTACCATCCAAAACTTGCTGAAATTTTATTGAATCCATTTTTCCTTCTACTCGTGAGATGTTCCCTGTGCCACTGGCTGCAACACAACCCCAAAGCATGATTGATCCAACCCCATGCTTAACAGTTGGACAGAGGTTCTTTTCATAAATTCTGTGCCCCTTCTTCTCCAAACGTAACCTTTGCTCATTCCGACCAGAGAAAGTTCAATTTTAACCTCATCGGTCCACAGAACTTGTTTCCAAAATGCATCAGGCTTGTCTATATGTTCATTTGCA